AGTCCAATGCAGAAATGATGACAAAATAAAACATTAATCTTTCTAAAACACAATAACAGTAATGAAACTCCAATGCTAATCCTAACTAAGTCCCGATGTCACATGTCCTATCAGAGCACATCCTACAATGAGACTTAAACCTCATCACCAATATCCCCATGTTGATGATCATTTGCAATACAATAAAAATACACATAAAGCAATAAAGGAGTGAGAAACATCTCGCTCTGATTCAGATGTAGAAATAAATGTTAGGCAACATACACACAATCATAACAAATACCACACAAGTTACACATAACCAAGCATAACTCTCAAGTTATAAATACATTAGAATACATATACATTTACTTATCATGCAATAATGTCATGAACTCGACTCATCAATGCATTCATGTGGTGTCATACAAAAGTTGCACATTTATCATCACTGGTATACTGCTATAGCAAAATACCTAGGGGCACGTTCATTCATGAATACATCACTAGTGACCAAAGGTACACCTAGAATAGCTCAATACATCTCTAGCGGCACACCTAAAATAGCTCAATACATCACTGGTGACCCAAGGTAAACCTGAAATAGCTCAATACATCACTGGCATGCAGCCTAAGTAACACACCTGGAATAACTTAATACATCACTAGTGACCCAAGGTACTCCTAGAATAGCTTAATACATCACTGACATATGGCCTAAGCGGCACACTTAGAGTCATATATGCGCATGATGCATGTCACACATTCACTATTTCATTGACTCAATATTTTACTTATCACGTCTCATCATATCTCATTTCACATTATCTCATAATATCATATCAGATATCACATTGTCACTTTTCATATTTTCACATCATATTCACATAGTCTCATACAAGGAACTTTTCATAGTCATATACATCAAAATAGCACATAAACCATACCAATAAATTATCCAACATCATACTCATTCAGTTCGCAATTCATAACATATGAAGCATAAAGGCCATAGATTCAACTTCATAATTTCACGCATTTTCTACAACCAACCAGTTAATATAATATTTCAATTGGTCAAAACACTTCAAATATCATCCAAAACATGAATCCATCATTAATTTTACATATAATGGCTCAAAATTCATCCAAAGATCATATCCTTACTTTCACTTCATAGGATTTCCCACAAGAACTCACAGAGCACTCTAATTCACATCAAAACTTATCTATTTTTGAAATTAAACACATATTCACACTCAGTAAACATCAAGGAACACAACAGAAAACTTAGAAGCCAAAACAGAAAACATTCAAAATTTGTCTATTTCTTATAGGATTTCCTGTAGGAACCCATAGAGCACTCTAATCCATATCAAAATATATCTAAACTCAAAATTAGACATACATTCATGCTCAGTAATCATCAGAGAATGCAACAGAAAACTCAGAAGCCAAAACAGAAAACATTCAAAATTTGTCCGTTTCTCATAGGGTTTCTCGTAGGAACCTACAAAACACTCAAATTCATATCAAAACTTATCTATTCTTGAAATTGAACACATATTTACACTTAAATTATACAAGGAACGCAACAGAACAGTCAAAAAGCAAAACAGAAAACATTCATAAAGTACCTGTTTTCGTAGGCTTGCATCAGGCAAAGGATTGGGGGCCAATCTGACTACCCAACATATATTCCCACACCCCCCAAGTGAGGTCTCTCACTCCCCCCCTTAACTTGATGAGTAGAAGACAAAGGACGTACGGTTCTCCGGTGACCTCCTCCTCATGCTTCTCTTGAGTCTTTAGAGCACACGCGTAGAAAAGAAGGAGAAAGTGAGAAGCGTGAAAATAACTTTTGACAACCTTCTTTCTTAAAATCATAAAAATAGATAATAATAATAATAATAATAATAATAATAATAATAATAAATAATAATAATAATACTATTTAGCAAAAGACTACTACGTCCCTCCTTCCCTTCTTATAAAATAATTAAACATATTTCCTCCTTTTAAAAAAACATAAATATAATTCTTGATAAAAAACATATTTTCATAAAAATAGTCTTGTAGCAAATAATATAAATATTAATTAAAAATCATGTTTTATATTAAAATAGAGGTCACATAAAACAGATAAATAATATAAACTATACTTCTTTTTTTTAGTAAAAATAACATATGTTTTATATAAATAAAAAAAAGCTCATACCAAATAGCTAAATAATATTAAAAATCCTTCTAATAAACACATTAAAATATTAAAATAAATACTACATAATATTAATATAATTTTATAAAAATTAGGGTGTTACATCCTCCAAAGTGATTTTACTTAGATCTTTTGTGTTCTCCAAAGCTTCCATTAAAGCTTTATATCTCTCACGTATAGTTACTATAATTTTTTTCAACATTTTAGTAATTGCACCTGATTAACAATGCCAAACAACTTCTCTAAGTATTGTTTGATTGTCTCATACTCCTTCATTATTTGTAACTCGAATTCTCTCATCAAATTTAGCACTTACATGCTTTAAATTCTTTCATCTCCTACATAATCTTCCTTCAAGTAATCCTAGATTACTTTTGGCAATTTCAGAGTCATGATTTTGGTGAAAATATTTTGTGAAACAAGAAAATAGATAAACTTTTACCTTTACCTTCTTGATTTTTCTCCTTTTGAGAATTTTCATTAATTTGGATTATAGTGGGATTGTCTGGCAACGTGGAAACATTATAATCTTTCTTCTATGACTTCCTAAAGATCTATAGCCTCTAAGTATGCCTCCATTCTCATGACCCCAAGATCATTACTTTCTCCATCAAAGATAGGTGGAAATTTTTTTGAAAAGTTTGCTTCCCCTTCCATATACACAGGTTGTAAAAACCTTGAATCTAGATACCAATTAAGGCTATAGATAACTTCTTGATTTTTCTTTCTTCGTTAATTTTTATTTAAGCTATGGTGAGATTGTCTAGCCATGTAAAAACATCGTAATTTTCTTTTATGGCTTCCGATATATCTAAAGTCTAAGTATGTTCCATCTCACCACCCAAAGATCATTGTTTTCTTTATCAAAGGTAAGAGATCAAATTTGGAAAATTTTGTTGAGTTCCATCTTCACAAGTCTGTGAGAACCAAGTTTTGATATCACTAATGATTTTTTTCTATGTTGTATTTTGTAGAAAGTAGGGTTGTGAAAAAATTCAAATTGATTCGAATCAGTCCATAACTAATCTGATCCATTTTGATAAAAAATATGAACCAATCCACTTTATAAAATCAGTTCAGTTATCCAACCCATTTTTATAAAGTGGATTGATTCAGTTCGGTTCAGTTTTTTAAAAAATTTGATCCTTATATGAGTAAAAAATGGATAATTGCACCATATCCAATCGATCCAATTTCAAAAAAATTAATCTATATTTTAAAAAAAACCAAACATATCCACTTTATAAAAAATAGATCAATTAACCGATCCTTTTATAAAATAATTCGGTTTAGATTTTTCAAAAAATCGATCCATAAACACCTTTAGTAAGATTTTTAAATGGTGGTTTGTTATATTTGTATTCATGGTCTCTCCATATGTAGAGAACAAAAGTGCAATGCAAAATTTTAATGCTAACATCATCCTAATATTAAAATTAAAATGATAATATCTTAAACTTACATGATAGGAATAACATTCTTATCATTATCTAAACAATATCTTAAAAATTTGAAACATAATAAACTATCTAAAAATTGAATTCTTTTTTCAAACTAAATAAATTTAGACATATTCTCAATAAGAAATATTGTTACATCATCACTTAAAGATGATACTTGATTAGAAGGCTAAAATCAATAAAGAACAATAACTGAAAGATTGATATTGATCAAAAAATTGTTGAAGGACTAAAAATAAATTTCATGAGAAATTAGGGACTAAGGGGGGTGTTTAGTGTACACAATTTTTTTCTCAAAATCTCAAGTTGAGAATGTTAATTTCTTATATTTGAATTATTATTTTAAAAAAAATAATTTAACTAAGAATCATGATTTCTCATGAAATTGTTCTCATGTGACCCAAGTTAAAAGGAATGTTTATTGTGATGAAAATATCATGTAACCTTGATTTACTTATTTAATGCATTGAAAATATGTAATTTATAAGTAACATTTATAAATATTATAAAAATTTATGATTAACTAAACAAATTTTAATCATTTCATTTTTGGGATTTATATTTTCCATTAACCATAATTCTTGGGATTTATATTTTCCATTAACCATAATTCTTGGATATAAATTTTTAGTCTTCTTGTACCAAACACTCCCCAACATAATGTTTAGTTGAAGGGAAATGAAGGAAATGTTTTTTAAAAAATATTTGTTTTCTCTAGTTCAAATTTTAGGAAGGAAGGGGAGTAAAATCCTTCATAACCCCATTTTAACTTCCCTCCTATATTAGAGGATTTGGAGGAGAGGAAAAAGATTTTACTTACTTATGTTTTTAAATTTAGAATTATAAGTATACAAAGATAAATTGGCTTTTAAAATCTTTTTTCTCCTAGTGTGATTACTAAACAAGAAAAAAGTTATCTTTCATTTTCTCCTTTTCTCTCAACTAAACAAAATGTCCCATTCTTTTCCTCATTTTCTTTTGAATGATAGAGGCCCTAGCAAAAAGTAAATTTTGAAAAAAAGATGAAAAAGTAAAAAAGACAATTTAAAAAAGAAGTGTAAAGCTAAAAAAACAAATCTAAGTCTAATATTTTGTAGGGTAATTTAATAAGAATTAAAGTTAAAGAAGAAAGAAGCTTAACAAAATTGGATTCCACGATCCAAAAATATCGTTTGTGATAACGGAATGATGTATTTCATATATAGATTTTATCTATTTGTTAGGGGTACGGTAACAACCCCCTTTTATCTATTTGTTAGCTTGCGATCTCTTTTTGTAATTTCCGGAAATAAAGAAAAAAAAGTGAGAAAATAAAGGCTTGCGTCCGTGGGCAATGGGAACGGCTTTAATATTTGCATGAAGAATGGACAACAGCATGTCAAGGAGCACCGCACAGGCTTGCGCTGCTTGTAAGTTCCAACGTAGGAAGTGCGGTTCCAACTGCATTCTCGCACCTTATTTTCCTCATGATCGCCAAAAGCACTTCCTAAATGCACGTCGCTTATTCGGCGTTGGCAAGATCACTAATCTGCTTAAGCCCCTCGATCCCAACGAGCGTGACATCGCCATGAGCACCATCATGTACCAATCCGACATGCGTGCTCGAGACCCTGTTGGTGGCTGCTACAAGCTCATTCAGCACTTGCAGTCTCAGATCGAATACGCCAATGCCGAGCTTCACCTTGTTCTTCAGCATCTCGCTTTCTTTAGGGCACAGGCACATCAAAATAATGACATCTCCAATGTCACTTCTTCTCAGCCTTTCCTTCAACAAATGTCTCAAGAACAACATCAACAATACCAACAACAACAACAACAATTCGAACAGCAGCAGCAGCAGCAACAATTCGAACAACAACAATATGTTAATTACAATCCTTCCTTACAGGAAGACATAAACTTGTGGGCGGTTCAGAACTCGATATCTCTGTTGCCCTTATCGTTAGAAGATGACATCAACCAAGATCCTGTTGTTGATTATGATTATGATCAAAAGCCTGTTCTTGAATTGATGAATAAAATAGAATCAGATGCAACCGTTCATCCACATCATAGGTTTGTTTGTATAAAAGTTCACGTCTTATGTTTCTTAAATGAATGTGATCTAGATTGTGTTTTCTGTTTTCATACAACGGCTGGCAGTGAATTCAATTAGGGTATGAGTTTATGTCCATAAGATGGAGAAATTAAGGAGATCTTACCTTCGTAACTTAATATCAATTAATTTTAAAATAAAATCTAATATGGTATAAAAGTCAATAACCCATTTTGGTCAATCGCATATTCTGATAGGCACATATGGATGAGGATGTTGGAAGGTCAATCGGCAGATATCTATGGATGCAAGTTGCAGGAAGATCTCACATCGTCTATCTCAATTTTGAGAAAACAACTTTTATATCTCTTGAAAAGTTTAATATGGTATTAGAGTCTATAATCCATTTTTGTAACCTTCCTTTGCAAGCATCTATGGATGATGATGTTGGAAGATCTCACATCTATTTTAATTCTTTTATATCTCTTGAATAACTTTATTTAATGTCAATTGATTTTAATATATGATATACTACAAAAATATTTTTATGTAGTGATACATATTTTATAATGATATAATATATTATTAAAAAATATTTTTACTTATACTATAGATATTATATATTTTAATATATTATTAAAAAAATAAGTATATATCATAGTGACAAATTACGTACATAACTAGTTAAATCAACACTAAAATTATATATAATTATATATAAAATAAATTTATACTTACATATTTTATATATATGATGATACCTTTTATATGTTATTATATTAGTATTTATTATAATATTAAAGTATATAACTTATTTTGATAAATCGTCTTTTCACAAGCATCTATGGATGAGAGTGTTGGAAGATCCCAGATCTTCAATCTTAATTCTTTTATATCTCTTGGACAAATTTACTTAATGTTAATTGATTTTAATATGATATTAGAGTCTATAACTCATTTTGGTAAATTGTCTTTTTGCAAACATCTATGGATGAAGGTGTTAGAAGATCCTACATCTCTAACCTTAATCATATTAATCTTTCTTTTTGTTGATTCACAACATTGTCTAATATGATATGGCATTCTGCTCAAATATGCAGTGATGATGAAGCGGTTCTATTTAAGGTAGACAAAGCAGTGTTGTAAAGAGAGGCTGATTGCATCAAATAAATTCAACCCAGCTCTGAAAGGTGCAGCAACTTTTTTTTTCTCTTACACTTAGTTTAGATAGCAAAAATTTTGTATTGATTGTATGAATTAAATTATTGCCACTGCATCTTTTTATTCAGATTTGCGGCAGTATTTTTTATTATTCTTTTTGTACAGAGATTAAATAATTCGTATGAAAAGTGATCGATGGATGGTTTTGCCAATGAGACTTACATGTTCATACACAAGTAAACATGGACGGGTTGGAGTAAATGTCAGTTTCCAATAAAACTTCAACGTCTCAGTTACATTTTGATTTCGGAAACCTGTTTTGATTGAAGTGTTTTAAGACACAGATGCCAGAACTATTAGCACCTCAAGAAAAATACAGTACTATTTTAGATTATTTTAATAATTAGTAATTATGGAAAGACACGAGTTTAATCTGAAGAATGCCTAATGTGATAATTGTAAGGCTTAAAAAATTTATTAAAGTTAGTGGGTAGCTGTTGTTTTTAGAATTACTAAAATCAAGTTACTCTCCTCTCTTTGACATTAAAAGAGGGAAAAAAGGGTTTGAAAGAAGTTATCAATGAAGTTGGCGTTCCCTCTATATAACATACTCTTTGAAAACTCTTTCACATAAAAAAAACATTGAAGAAAAAAAGAAAAGGCCAGGGGATTATCAAAGATTTCTACGCCACCATAGAATCAAGGAAGGGAAGGAGAAGAGAGAAGAAAAGAGAGGATTGATTAAAGGAACCTTCAAGGTTGTATTATCGATACAAGTAAGTTTCCAAATTCTCATTGAAATTATAGAAATTAAATACAAATTATATTATCTAAAATTTCTTGTATGATGAACCTTAAGAATTGCTTATAACAGTGTATTTGGCTTACAAAACAAACTTGAATACAGAAATAGATCGTGACAATTATGCAAAGTAGCAAAGGGGTTGTTTTATTGGGGGTACTAAAAGACACCTTGTTTCATACATGTTATCAATATGTCTATCTCTAGAAACATAAAGATAAGATGTATAAGTCTCTAGAAAAAACTAAAAGAGTGTAGAGACTTAAATAGTATAGAAAATTCTAGATATTTCCACCATCATCTAGAGATGGAGCACCATGCCTATAAATAGGCAAATTGGGACTTCATTGTAATAACAACAACATCAACAACAATTACCACAACTACTACTACTCTCTAAATACAAATAAGTTTCTATTATTCCTCCAACTATTCCCTTGACAACTATCATATACTAACAGTGGTACCAGAGCTATGTTCGGTCATCTACTAGGCGTAGAAAAATCACCCAACTACTTCTAAAATTCCCTTCTATACTTATAAACATTTTTCTTTGATATATGGCCTCCAATATTGTTAATTTTTCATCTGTCCCTTTACCAGTTTTTACTGGTGAAAATTTTGATCTTTGGAAGCTCAAACTAAAGACATACTTTATCTCATAAAAACTGTAGGATATTGTTCAATCTGGTTATACAAAACCAGATAATACTATCACTCTGTCTAAGGAGGAGCAGAAGAAGTTAGAAGATTGTGAACAAAAGGATGCCCAAGCATTATTTGTTCTTCAACAAGCTGTGGGAGAAACTATCGCTAGAAGGATCATGGACGCCGATACTGCAAAAAAGGCATGGGATATTTTGGAAGAAGAATTTGAAGGCAATGAACAGGTACGCTCCGTCAAGCTACACTATCTAAGAAGAGAATTTGAGACCATTAAAATGAAGGAATCTGAGACCATTGAAGAATACTATGGAAGAATAAAAGAAATAGTTAATAAAATGAAATTATATGGAAAAGAAATTAAGGAGAAGAGAGTGGTAGAAAAAATTCTTATCACTCTCACGGAAAAATATGATTCCATTGTAGCTTCCATAGAAACTTCCTCGGATCCATCTTCTCTATCAGTGAATAAATTAATTGGTCTCCTCGGAGTGCACGAAGCAAGATTAAATAGTCGTGCCGATACAAATTCATTTGAAAATGCATTTCAATCAAAGCTTAAATTACAGTCTAGAAATAAAGAAGATGGAGGAAAGAAAAATGTTGGAGAATATTCTAGAAACAAAGATTCTAGAAATTTCTCTAGAAACAAAAAAGATAAATACCTTTCATGTGGTATTTGTAATAAGCCGGGACATGCAGAAAAAGATTGTTGGCATCGTGGAAAGCCAATATGTCACTATTACAATAAACCCGGTCACGTGGAGAAGTACTGTCGTAACAAAAATAAACATCAAGCAAATTTTGCCGAAAAACATAATCAAGAGCAACGTCTGTTCTATGCTAACCAAGAATCTTGTGACAACGGAGATGGAAGCTGGTACTTGGATAGTGGATGCAGCAATCACATGGCCAAGGACCAAAGCATCTTCAAAGACATTGATAACTCCGTCAAAGTCAAAGTTCGACTGGGAAACGGCACCATGGTGGAGTCTCAAGGCAAAGGAACTGTCATGGTGGAGACAAAGAAAGGTACGAGACTCATCAAGGACATGTTACTAGTTCCCAATCTTAAAGAAAATCTTTTAAGCATTGGTCAAATGATGGAAAATGGGTATTCTCTTCATTTTGAAAGAGATATATGCAAAATTTATGATAGTAAAAGGGTAGAGATTGGCCAAGTAAAAATGGAGAAGAGAAATAGAAGTTTTCCTCTAAGCTTCAACCATGGCACTAATATTGCCATGAAGGTAGAAGTTGATGACTCATGGCTCTGGCATCGGAGATTTGGCCATTTCAATATTCATGCCTTAAAGCTTCTACATCAGAAAGGTATGATGAGAGATCTACCCAACCTAAAAGAAAATATTGAAGCTTGTGAAGGATGCCTTCTCGGCAAGCAACACCGATTGTCGTTCTCAACAAGCAAAGCATGGAGAGCCAAGGACTCGTTGGAGCTAATTCATACAGATGTTTGTGGATCGATGAGGACACCATCACACACCAACAACAGGTATTTCATCCTCTTCATTGATAATTTTTCTAGAATGACGTGGGTCTATTTTCTGAAGACAAAGTCAGAAGTCTTTGGAATATTTAAGAAATTCAAGGCCCTTATCGAAAAGCAAAGTGGAAAACAAACAAAAGTACTTAGAAGTGATCGTGGCAAGGAGTATACATCTCGCAAGTTTGACAAATTTTGTGAAGATGAAGGCATAGAGCGACAACTTACAGTCGCATATACTCCATAACAAAATGGTGTGTCAGAGAGGAAGAATCGCACAGTCATGGAGATGGCAAGATCGATGTTGAAGGAGAAAGGACTGCCAAATACATTCTGGGCTGAAGCAGTCTACACTGCAGTCTACCTACTCAACAGACGTCCTACTAAGGCAGTTCGGGACAAGACTCCAATAGAAGCTTGGAGTGGGAAGAAGCCATCAGCTAAGCACCTAAGGATCTTTGGATCTATTTGCTACATTCATGTTCCAGATGAAAAAAGGCATAAGTTAGAAGACAAGACCGTACGAGGCATATTCTTGGGATACATCTCACAATCAAAAGGCTATCGAGTCTACAATCTTCAGACAAAAAAGCTAACAATCAGTAGAGATATTGAAGTAGATGAAAATGCTACTTGGAACTGGGAAGAAGAACGAATTGAAAAGAAGACTATATACATGCCCATCAATCAACCAACTACATCAAGTCTGGAAGACAACAATCAAGACATTGTTATCTCTCCAGAATCTTCAATAATAGTTCCACTACAAGAAGAATCATCACCTGAGTCTACTCCAAGACGAGTTAGATCACTAGTAGATATATATGAAACCTACAACTTGGCCATACTTGAACCAGGAAGCTTTGAAGAGGCAACAAACCAAGAAGTATGGGTCAAGGCTATGGAAGAAGAGATTAAAATGATTGAGAAGAATAATACATGGGAGCTCGTAGATTGCCCTCATGGAAAAGATATCATTGGAGTAAAATGGGTATATAAAACAAAGCTTAATCTTGATGGGACTATACAAAAACACAAAGCAAGATTGGTCGCTAAGGGATACTTACAACAACCAGGAGTGGACTACAATGAGACATTTGCTCCAGTCGCACGCCTAGAAACAATAAGAGCTCTAATAGCTCTTGCAGCACATAAAGGATGGAACATCTATCAACTGAATGTCAAGTCTGCATTCCTCAATGGCGTACTCGAAGAAGAAATCTATGTGGAGCAACCACCAGGATTTGTGATGAAAGGCCATGAAGGCAAAGTGTTGAGACTGAAGAAAGCTTCATATGGCCTGAAGCAAGCTCCTCGAGCATGGTATAGAAAGATCGACCAGTACTTCACTGATCATGGATTCAGGAGGAGTAAGAGTGAGCCTACACTATACATCAAGACTCAAGGTCAGCATACTCTCTTACTCTCTCTGTATGTAGATGATCTTATTTATACTGGAACCAATACAAACATGATGATGGAGTTTAAAAAAGACATGATGAAGACCTTTGAGATGACTGATCTTGGCTTGATGAGTTACTTCCTCGGTATAGAGGTAAGTCAGAGAAATGATGGAATATTCATCTTAAAAAAGAAATATACAGAAGCTTTACTAAAGAAATTTAATATGTACGGATGCAAACCTGTAAGTACGCCGCTAGTGACGAATGAGAAATTACAAAAGGTGGATGGAGCACCAGAAGCTGATGCATCCCAATATAGGAGTCTAGTTGGAAGTTTACTTTATTTGACAGCTATACGACCAGACATCATGTTTGCTACAAGTCTTCTATCAAGATTCATGCAAAAGCCAAGTCAAATTCACTATGGAACAGGAAAAAGAATATTGAGATATCTACAAGGCACAAGGGAGTTTGGTATATGGTATAAAACCATGACCAAATCAAGGATGATTGGCTATACCGACAGTGATTGGGCAGGATCAATAGATGACATGAAGAGTACATCAGGATATGCCTTCTCACTAGGATCTAGATTTTTCTCTTGGGCATCAAAGAAGCAACCAACAGTTGCACAATCAACAGTAGAAGCAGAGTACATAGCAGCTGCTGAAACTACAAGTCAAGCAATATGGCTACGAAGAATACTTGAAGAAATGAGTGAACAACAAGATGGACCGACAATTATATACTGTGACAACAAATCAGCAATAACAATGGCAAAGAATCCAGTTCATCATCAAAGAACGAAACACATAGCCATCAAATATCACTTCATCAGAGAAGCAGAGACAACTAAGCAAATTCAACTTGAATACTACTCAACAGAAGATCAAGTTGCAGAAATATTTACAAAGGCACTACCAAGAGCAAAGTTTGAACAACTACGAACTATGCTTGGAATTACTGAAATTTGCATCAAGGAGGAGTGTTAAATTATGATGCAAATTCTAGAAAAGAAAAGAGTATTCTAGAAACATAAGATAATTTGTATAAGAAAGAAGAAGAAAAATCTAGAAAGATAAAGATAAGATGTATAAGTCTCTAGAAAAAACTAAAAGAGTGTAGAGACTTAAATAGTATAGAAAATTCTAGATATTTCCACCATCATCTAGAGATGGAGCACCATGCCTATAAATAGGCAAATTGGGACTTCATTATAATAACAACAACATCAACAACAATTACCACAACTACTACTACTCTCTAAATACAAATAAGTTTCTATTATTCCTCCAACTATTCCCTTGACAACTATCATATACTAACATTATCTAGTATCTGCACTTTGGGAAAGAAAAAGAGAAAAAAAAATTATATTTGTAAAGAATAATA